ATTAATTTGTAAAAAATCACAAATCCGATTTGATCTTCTTCTTTCCGTGCCAATAGACTTTCGCATTGATTAATGAAATTTTTGAAATAAATATTTGTTTGTTGGATTGATAATAATTGAGTGAAATTAAGGTGTTTTAATATATCTAGTTGAACTTCTGGTGGAAGGAAATACATTTTATATTTAACTTTTTTTTGACTGAAAAAGAAAATAAAATTATACAAAGTCTTAAAGCATAATTTTTCCATAAAAGTATAACAATTATGGCAACTTGAAATTAAAATTTTCTACTGACATAGTATATTTAAATAAAAATAAAATTAAAAAACAAAATTATGAGAGAAAATAAAATTATTTAAAAGTTATAAATGTTGAATAATTAATACATAAGATTGTAAAATAAGATAGTAAAAGATGTTTTTACTTTTTACCCCCTCTTTTGTTAGTTGATTTCTTTTATTTAATTCTATTATAATGCTTAAACTTTAAAATAAATTTATTTTCTTTTTTTTATTCTTCGCAAAGTTTTTTTTGTAAAACTTTTTAAAACTTTAGGAAAAGAATGACGGGGTAAAAGGATAAAAAGTCTATTTTTTATTGATCAAAGAATTTATATAAATACATATTAAAAATTTGTGTAGTTTTTAAAGGAATAAATTTAAAAAACGTTTTATTTTCTCTCGAATGTGTCGATAGTTTTGCCGTTTTTCATTGAATAAATAATTTTTTCTAGGTCAAAATAAAATGGTTAATAATTATATTTTTTTATTAGTTACTTATTTAATATACTAATCCTCAATCACATTTGAAATTTTTATAAAAAGTTTATTATCTTAAAAATATTTTACTTAAAAAATATTTTTCTAGAAGAAAATTTCTGTTTAACTCTAAGTTAGGAAAAATATTTTTTAATTTTCCTTTTTTAATAATTTAGCAGAAAATATGTAAGTATACAAAATATTTTTCAATATTTAAATTTCTATCATTTAAAAAGAATTTTGAATCATAAAAAAGTTACAAATAAATTTTTGAATTAAAAATTTAAATTGCAAAATTAAAAGGAAAGCTTAATTTAAAAATTGGGTCAGTAAAAGAAAATATTGAAAACTGTTTTTAGATAAATCATGAATTTGCAAAAAAAATATGTATTTGCAGACTTTTTATGGACACTGATTACAGACTGCAAGAATTTCTAATTTTTTTAAATTTCAATGATTAATTGGACAAAATTAAAAAAGACGAAACATTAAAGTCTTCACTTAATTACTTTATTTAATAAATTCAAAAATATTTTTTGAGTAAATCAAAGCGAGTAGAATTAAAACAAAATTAATCAAAAATATTTCAGTAAAACTCTTCCAAAATTAAATGTTTTGAATAATCATATTTAAATGGTTTAGTCTCCAAATTATTTCCAAAATTAGCTTCAACTGAACAACATTTAAAGCAAACAAGTAGTATATGTACCATTTTTAAGACAAAAATTTTGTCTTAAAACAGGCACAAAAATTCTCACAATTATTTTTCAATAGGTTTAAGGGAATTTAGCGCCTCAAAAATTTTCTACAATTATTTTTCAATAGGTTTAGGGGGAATTTAAAAATTAAACCATCGTTGCCTAACTTGCCAGATCGGACGGGTGAGAACATTTACAAAGCAGCACGTACGTATTCAAAATATTTTTGAAATTGTAATATAAGATAAGTCTAATTCCAAGCCAATTAAAAGCGGCACAAAGTTAATAAACCCACACCAAAAAATAAAATCAATCTATTAGTCATTTCTTAATTTTACTTTTTTAATTTTCTAATTTAATTTCCTTTTATTTACAATTCCTTCTAGAATTTTTTCCATTTTTTCCAATTCTTTTCCATTTTTTCTCAATTCTTCCAAAATTTGTTTTGTTGATACATCTTCCATTTTGACAGAAATTCTGGCGGATTCTGTGGAATTTTAAATATTTTCAAATTTTTTCATACAAGCCAAAAAGTCAAAGCGGAGAGAGGATCTTACTTCCATTATTGTAAAAGTCGGAAAATTTGGTTAACTATTCGAAATAGTAATAATTAAATTAGGTTCTTCATCCGTTAAATCACTCCAAAAAACAAAAACGGCCTCCTTTATAATTTGCAAAAGTTTGCATTACTGGTAAATCGATAGTGAAACGGCCATCACATAAATAATTATTGTTTTTATTGGATTGTCAAAAAACAAAAATTGGAATATCTTTTATTTTAAATAAAACGGAAAAGGGCTAACAAGTTTGAATGAATTAAATTATTCTGAAAAGGAAAAATGAATTAGTTTAAGAAAAATTAGCAGTGCAGAGTATGGCTCCGGAAAAATGCTCCACATCAGGCTCCATCAGGAGCCCTTTTTTCCTCTAGTTAATAATTCTAAAGTGATTCACCTAGAGCATTTAAAACGCTTATGCGTTGGTTAACCGCTCTAAAAGTATGAAAGAATATAAATTAGCCGATGCCCCGGTAACTCAGCAGTAGAGCACCTGCATTTGTGCGAGAAAAGCCGGGCAAGCACGTATCAACGTTGTCGAAGGGGCGAATCCTGCCAAGCGGCTAAACTTTTGCTAAACTCTTTCTTAATGAGTTCTTTGTTTTTGTCGTGATAGTTGTTATTCATTGCTTGATGACGGGCTGAAAACAAAATAAATTTGTGTTGTTTTAAACTTTTCTGTTGATTTTAAATATTTATTATGCCTGAGTTTATTTTATATATGTACAAAATTAAGTCAAATTTTATAAAATTATAACATTGAAATATTTGAATATTTAAAACGATAGTTTTTAAAAATGAAATTTAGAGGGGGATTTAGGAGTTTTTAGAGGGGGGATTTCTAGTTTTATGCATATTTTTACATATTATGGACTTAGCTTATGCCGCATATGTATTTTACTGTATATTTTGATGTTTTTGGGAAAAATAAGAGTAAAAATAAAAGAACCGTTAAAAGAGACGAACGTAAAAATTTATTTAGAAAAATAAATTTGTAAAATTATTTAAAAGAGGACGTAAATAGATTTCAATTTAAAAAATTTCAATTTAAAAGTAAACAATTAAAATACAACAGCGCTGATTGAGCATTGAAATGAAAGCTTTTGTAGACTGTTGTCATTGGTTTCGGAAATTTATTAGTCTTGAAAGGCACATACGCCTCTGCCCCTCCAGTATTTTCAATTTAATTAATTCTAATAAATTAATTTAAATAAAATAGATTCTCTGTAAAATTTTGTAATAAGGAGAAATCTTTTAGTTAAATATTAAAAAGAAAATAATTAACAATAAAATCAAATTTCGATATCAAGTCCACGCATTCTTTTTACTTATTACGTCAATTAAATTCGGCCTTGAAAGGGACATTTAACAGGATATATGGATATATCATTATCGCTTCCTTTATTTCATTCGAACACTATGTTTAAATCTAAAAATTAAATTTATCATCAACAAATTCGGGATGCGCATGTGATTGTTTTGATTTTTTGCTATTTATATAATTTTACAAAGAACATACATACTCAGCTTTTTATTTAGGAAGTTTGATTAATTTTTAAAATTCTAAAACTAACTTGTGTTCTACTTTATTAAATGCCCATTTTTATTAATTCTTAGGGGTATAGCCATTCAACAACTGGATGGCGTAATATTTTATCGCGCATTTGATTAAAATTAAAAATATTACACATTGTTTTTAATAATAAAATAAAGAAAAGATTTTGCTTTTTTGTTTTTCAAAAATAAAAAATTGTAAACATTTTAAAAGTATAAACTAAAAAGATCCAAGCAAAAAAGAAAGAAAATATTTTAAAATTAAAATTACAGTAAAATCTCTATTAGAATTCCGATCTCCAGAGATGCCTGCTCCTAATAGAATGCCCCTTTGTAAAGTCATTGAAATTTAGAAGCCATGGAATTAATTCTATTAGAAGTTTAAGACAATTACCTACGTGTTCCATTAGAAGAAATAAAAGTAATAGTTAAGCTACTTTGGAAAAAAGTTTTTGTGCTGCTAAGGAGAATCTGTTTTTTAAAACCCTATTCACGAAGCAAATTACTAAAAATTTGCAAACAGAGCTAGATGAAAAGTTAAAATATGCAAAAGTATTTAGGTAATATGTTTTATATTATATTAATTGTTTTAAACAAAAAATATATTTTAGTAAAAAAGCGAATAAATAATATTTATTAAAAAAAGGTTAAAAAGTAGTAAAAATTATTAAAAATTTTATTAAAAACTTTACTTTCAATTGAAGGTGTTTTTTGCCGATATGTATATCTTAAAAATTTATATTTTTTATTAATTTTTTAGCTTTCTTTAAATTATTTTTTGAAACTTTATATAAATATATATTAGATATTCTCAATAGATTTCCTTCCATTTAATTTTCTAATATTACTAGTTTTAAATTATTGTTAAAAGCGACGGTTTATTGATTTCCCGCAATATATTATTGCTCTCGATGAAAGTATAATGTAAAGAATTTATAAAAATAAAATAAATTGACAGCAGTTATTGCTTTATTACTAATAAAAAATATTTTTTAAATAAAAGGTTTTACAATATTTTGGATTAAAATTTTCAGAATTATGTTATTAAATTACATATTTCAATATTCCGATTAGTTTAAGAAGCTATAAAATTTAAGAAGTGATTTGCTTTTCTGTATTTTAATATCTTGCTAAATTTTTGAAATAAATTGTTTAAAAATTTTTAATTATTTTTTCCAAAATTTTTATTTGTTTTGTTTATACATTTCATTTACATTATTACACTTTAATTTTTCTGATCTTCATTTTTTGTAAATGTTTTTTTGTGAAAATAGATGCAAAATAAACAGATTCTAATATAAAATGTAATAAATCACTTTTTTAAGAGAATGATTATAAACAATACTATTTTGCATAAAGCCAAAAGGATGTATTTAAACCCCTTGATAAAGCTAATTAATTCAATTTTAATTAACTACAAACTTTTAAAAAAAATGAGAAATATTAAGAATTCTTCAACAGTGATCAATAAAATAAAGAAAAATATTAATACTTCTACATTTACATTAAAACAAATTGTTAGAATTTTTAATAAAAAATTTTTAAATTAATAATTTTTAGTTGGCATTATTAACAGAAGAAATAGAGCAAAGCAAAATAGAGGCTAACAATGCATTGTTTATGGATTTAGTTCTCTTATATATTAGTTTGCAACTATCATGCGGTTATGTTGATAAGGCAATTTTTATTTTAAATTAAATTATTAATTTATTTTAATATTTTTAAAGTCAATAGCTATTCTGCAAGCTATTACAGAGTTCAATTGTTTTAATCCTTTTTCAAAATCTAATACAGAAATGACGACAATGAAAAATAATTTCAAAATATTTTGGCAGTCTAATGCATTAAGAATAGGTGATCTGGATTCACCCGGGTGGTGCAACACCCCACAATTAAATGATTTCGAGTATATTGATTTTTTGGAAAGCTATGAGAGTAATTATGAAAGTATTTTTTAAAACCAAATTATTTAAGTAGATAAAATTGCGGGAACAAAGGCTAGAGCGTGTTTAATTGAAAGCGATGAGGCGGCCAAATTAAAACAAAATGGGGCGTCTCAAATTGAATTTTCTCGTAAACTTGAAAAAATACGGGAACGTTACTATTGGCAGCCTATAAAAATAGGAGTAAATGTAGAAGCATACGAGGTTTTAATTGGGAATAAGTAAGAAAAATTTTTTGTTTAATCTAGTTTACGTCAAGATTTACATCCTTTGATGAAGTTCAACAGTTTCTTTATTATTTTGACGAGGCAGAAGAATTCATCTATAAAATTCTAAATCTTTTTGGTATTTGTGCACCGGGCGTTGTAAAAGCTTTATTTAGAAATATTCTGATTTTTATTCATAGACCTTAAACAGCCAAGAAGACCTTCTACGAGCTTTTTCAAGAGATCTTTTCCCCTCCTTCAAAATCATCACAAGGAAGCTTGATGGCTTCACAAGTTTCTGTGAACATTTTATTTATTTAATGAGTGAATCAGAGCGGATGGATACACATAGAAGCCTTGCGTGCCTTGTAACAAAGTAGGGGTTTTTAAAGAAAATTATACTTTTACTTTAAAGCATATCAAATTCTTCAAATAATAACGAAAAGAAATTGAGAGAATTAAAACTGTTTGTTCGCTCATTTGAAAAAGGAAAAAGACAATGTGGCGATGATATTACAAGCGATATTATAATTACAGTTTGGGCTTTCGCATTCAACGAGGTTTTAGATATTAAGATAAAATTGTGATTTTGCTTATCTATTTATATTCATTTCAGATGATTCTTTTAAACGCTGCGGATATATTCCCTCTTGAATGTTCTCTCAAAATCTTGCACAAAAATTTAGACAAAGCGGGATTATCTATTTGGGAAATCTCAGATATGCTTGTTTCTGCTGAAGATCCCCTGGGATTGAAAAGAATTTATTTGGTTTATTTGCGGCTTATTATTTTATTGTTGAGAAATTTGCCTTTCTCCTTTGATGTTGAAATTACAAAAATCAAAAATGTAAAGATTAGTAGATATTCTGAGTGGAAAATACAAACCAAAAGGGAATTTCTCTTATCTCTCTGGCACGGCGGCAAGATTTCCCCTGTATGTTTTGTTTGAAATGAAATATTTATTTAAAGAAATATTTTCAATATCCCTTATTTAGGTTCACGAAACTACAACGAGCATTCAAATTGCACAAGAAAGAGTCAAAAGAATGCTGTTGAAAGAATTTTCTGACCAACTGGAAAATAATTATCTAGATTGGTTAGGGAATGAATTCGAAATGATTTTTGAGCTCATTTTATTGTTTTACTATGAATTTCCACTTGGAAACAGATATGGGTTTTTTCAGGAGGAAACACCTCTATTTTCTTCTCCGCTAGGAAACTCTCTGAGAAATTCTGTTGTTGTTCAAGAAGTTAGAGTTGGAATTTTAAAGGTACGAAACAAATTATTTTTAAAAGATTATATCAAGACATTTAAGCATATGGTCAAAAATAAAGAGGCATTTAGCAATCGGCCTTTGCGCGCGTGTTGTTCTAACTACATTCCACGTAATATAATTTCAATTGTGGAGAGGCAATGTCTTCGATTTCCTCAAAGTATCTTCCTTACCAAAACATTGGTTATGATGAAAAATAATTATTATCACGGAGGAAAAATAAAAAAAGGTTTAATTAATTTATTTTTGAAATACAAAGCTATAATCAGATTCGCAAGCGCGTCTTTTACAGGACGGCGCATTAATATATTCAGAGTTAAAAGAATTAGAAGAATTCGTAGAAGAAATGGATGATCTTTCTAGTAAAGAAACTGCATCCAAATTTACAAGATTCATTGAAATTACAACCAATATAGCTTTAAGAAATAGGTACTCTAACGAATTTTAAAATTTAAAATTAAAAAATTAAAAATTTTTAGTGACAATCTAATTCCGAACGATTACATTTGGTTAATTCTATTAAAAATAATGATTGACGTAAAGAAATGTGTTGCGTACGAGAAAATCGAAGAAGTCAGATTTAAGAGTTAGATAAAAATTAATTTCAAAATTTTAAGGTCTTTACTTTGTGTCAAATGTGTTGTCCTTGGAGTAAATGTGTTATATTAGAGATGATGAGAAACCATGAACATGGGGATGCTTTACTAGCAAAGTTGAAGAAGCTTACAAAAAAACATGAATTAAATTGGTATATATCTGAGCAAGAAGTGAAAAAATATTTAGAATAAGAAAATTTTAATTTTTAAATAAAATGATTATTAAATATTTAAAGAAATAAACTATTACATTTTTGATCCCAATTTTATCGAATTATTTAATCTTGTTCAAATCTAATTGTATTCCCTTTTCAATAGTTAAGAATCCCTTTATTTGGCATTTTGTTAGGCGTATATTTTGAAACTATAAAATTTTTGAATAAATGTTTGAATAAATCTATTTAAGCAGGCTTCCGTTATTATAGATTTTTGGAATATTTGTTTATCTATTGCCCAAAAGTTCTAATTGGGTTTTAATCAGGGTGGCCCTTTCCGAAACACTAAAATAGGGCGCAGCCACTCAAAAATAGGGCGAAATCGGCCAAAAATAGGGCAAAAATAGGGCATTATTTAAAAATCATAAAAATAATTAAAATTTCAATTAAGAAGCTTTATTCTATATATTTTTCACTAGTTTTAACTAAATTGAGCAAATGGAGGGACATAGATAGGTTGGGAGCAATTATGAATGATTTGAGGATAAAAAGATTTATCGAGATTTACTTTCATATCCTTAATCAATATAAATTATATTATATTTAACTTAATCTTCTATTCACCTTAATCCTCGCATACACCATTAATCTATCAAATCCAATGATATCTCTCATTGATATCTCTCTTTATCAATACAAATCCCTCGTTATCCAGTCAGACCCCCATAATCCTAGTAAATCCTCCTAAATCGTTTATAGTAAAATACTCAAGCCCTTCTAATCCCTCAATTTCACACAAAGTCTTCACAGATTCTTCCTTTTTCAGCGCCGCAGGCAAAAATTTTGAGAATTCTGTAAGGCCAAGAAGCCAGATTTCTTCCTTTTTTGCGCCGCAGGCGAAAATTTTAGGAATTTTGGAAGGCCGTAAAGCCAGATTTCTTACTTTTTCTGTCATTTTATTCACGTAATTCTAAAATTGTGAAAATTTTACAAAATGGTAAAAATAGGGCAAAAATATGGCAAATGCAAAAATAGGGAAAAAATAGGGCGGAAAGGTCGAAAATAGGGCAAATGCCCTGTAAATAGGGCAAAAGGGCCACCCTGGTTTTAATTTAAAATTTTAAGAAACCATATTTGTTTAATTTTCAGTGTTGGTGTTTTTTAAATTATAGAAAATTTTTTAATTTATAAAAATTTATAGCTTTTCAGATTTTTAGTTAAAGCTCATGCAGGAGCCTGATCTGGAGCATTTGCGATACCCTCACCTTTCTCATTTTTCTTAAAACTAATTCATTTTCTCTTTTTAAAGACACTTAATTCATTTAAACTTGTTGACCCCTTTCGTTGTTTACGGGATTTTTATTTAAACTAAAAAGATTTTCCAAATTTTGTTTTTTAGACTCACCAATAAAAACAATATTCATTTATGACTTGGCCGTTTCTCTGGCGATTTACTTTTTTGTTTTTAGAGGGAAAATTTTGAGAATTATTATGTACGATGAAGAGCCTAATTTAATTATCACTATTTCGAATAATTAGTCAATGTTTCCGACTTTTACAATAATGGAAGTAAGATCATCTTTCCGCTTTGAATTTTTGGCTTGTATGAAAAATTTTAAAAATATTTAAATAAACACAGAATTAGTCAGTAATTATGTGAAAATGGGTGATGTATCAACAAAATAAAATTTTGGGAGAATTGAGAAAAATAGAAAGGAGTTTACCTGGCTTTACTATAATTTTGTTAAAAGTCTCCAAACGTTAAAATTAATTGTTTCTGCACTTTTTCTTTCAATTTAACAACTTTAATTTTAAAAATTGCGCGATGATATAATTGATTTTGCATTGAAATTTTTAAATTGAAATCTATTAAGTTGAAATCTATTTACCTTTTTTAAATAAAAATCTATTTATGTACGTCCTCTTTTAAATAATTTTACAAATTTATTTTTCTAAATAAAATTTTTACGTTCGTCTCTTTTAACGGTTCTTTTATTTTTACTCTTATTTTTCCCAAAAACATCAAAATATACAGTAAAATACATATGCGGCATAAGCTAAGTCCATAATATGTAAAAATATGCATAAAACTAGAAATCCCCCCTCTAAAAACTCCTAAATCCCCCTCTAAATTTCATTTTTAAAAACTATCGTTTTAAATATTCAAATATTTCAATGTTATAATTTTATAAAATTTGACTTAATTTTGTACATATATAAAATAAACTCAGGCATAATAAATATTTAAAATCAACAGAAAAGTTTAAAACAATTAACTAGAGGAAAAAAGGGCTCCTGATGGAGCCTGATGTGGAGTATTTTTCCGGCGCCATACCCTGCACTGCTAATTTTTCTTAAACTAATTCATTTTTCCTTTTCAGAATAATTTAAAAAATTCAAACTTGTTAGCCCTTTTCCGTTTTATTTAAAATAAAAGATATTCCAATTTTTGTTTTTTGACAATCCAATAAAAACAATAATTATTTATGTGATGGCCGTTTCACTATCGATTTACCAGTAATGCAAACTTTTGCAAATTATAAAGGAGGCCGTTTTTGTTTTTTGGAGTGATTTAACGGATGAAGAACCTAATTTAATTATTACTATTTCGAATAGTTAACCAAATTTTCCGACTTTTACAATAATGGAAGTAAGATCCTCTCTCCGCTTTGACTTTTTGGCTTGTATGAAAAAATTTGAAAATATTTAAAATTCCACAGAATCCGCCAGAATTTCTGTCAAAATGGAAGATGTATCAACAAAACAAATTTTGGAAGAATTGAGAAAAAATGGAAAAGAAATAACGGTGTGGAATGTTTACACTGCGGTGCAAAAGTTTATCTACACTGACTGAAAATTTATTTAAAACAGTATATCTCGTGAAGAATTCGTTTAGATGACATGGATTATTTTTATTATTATTAAGTAAAGAGTGCTCTTTCTAATAAGCCATAGTTTTAAAAATAACCCCCAGTACTTATTAAAATATACACCAGTTTCCAAAACTGCTTCAATTTTTTTCGGTGCAAAAGTTTATCTACACTTTGCAAAAATTAAATTTTTAGATGAATAGATGGCAATAAAAACACAAAAAAATTTCTGTGGACATTTCGATTGATGTTGAATATAAAATCAGAAAGAACAATATTTCTAGCTAATTTTTTCATCGAGATCTCAAATCTCGAAAATCAAAGGGAAATGGGGTTACAGTACTTCAAAAAATATTTTATCTCCCTAGGGCTTGTATCAAAAATTCTTTTTGGGCTCATTAGAAAGCCCATAAAATTTGCTACAAAATACCATTGGTCTCATATTTGTAAAAAAATCTGAATAGTATTTACGTGTGGGTTACTTACTGTGAAATTAAAAATGAGTAAAAATGTGGGGTATTTTGGGAGGTTTAGACTAAAAATGATAAATTATTAAATTCCTCGACCCTTATCTCCATGAATTTTTTATCGAAAAAATTGAGCCTGGGCTATCTTATAGTAAATTTTATGGGCTTTCAAATGAGTTCAAAAGAAAATTTTTATATAAGCCCTGGGGGGTTAAAATAATTTTTAAAGTACTGTACCCGGTTTTCCCGTTGATTTTTGTGATTTGAGATCTCGATGATGAAAACTGTTACGGACTTCGTTCTTTTTTATTTTTAACTCAGTATCAATGGAAATATCCTCAGAATTTTTTTGTGTTTTTATTGCCATTTATCTACATTGAAATATAATAATATCGCCCTGTTACAGAAAATTACAGAACGCCTATCGGAAATATTCTATACAATCCAACGGCCTATTATACAATAGAGAGCCCCATTCTCTCTATTGTAGAATAGGCAGTAGAATAGGCATGAGTAAAAGAACAATAGGTTTAAACAATTTTTAAATTTTTAATAGGGTTAATTAAAATTTTTTCAAAATTTTTCTTTTAAATTCTCCCGTTAATTTTTGATTTTGTTCTTTCTACTCTTCTTTGGCTACTTTCTCTGTTACTAACGCTTATGTATGGAATGATCTTTAGAAGAAATATTTTCCTCATTTTCTTCACAATTCATTTTTTGATTCGGATATTATTTTAGCTATAAAATTGGTTGGATGTTGACGAGGTCTAGGATATTAGATAGGCTTCTACATATTTTTCATTTAGGTTTTTCTTTGAGCCTTTATTTCTGGATTACAAGTATAAACTCTATTTCGAGTCTGAAATTACCCTCTGATTCTGATGCGAACCATCAAGATACTGTAAAGGTATTGCAATTTCTTCATTTTCCTATTTAAATCAAAAATTCTCTACAATTATATATTCCGCAAAACAGTCATTTCCTCTTATGTTGGTTCTATTGTTTGTCTATGCTTGGATAAAATGTATCAATGGTATATGTAATTTATTGTAAAAAATGCTTTTATGTCGGGAAGGATTATTAAAAATTTTAACTAAAAATTATTAAAATTTTAACCGTTGTAACTATTTTTATTGATATTAAAATATTTTATTTCTTCGACAAGGACAAAAGTTTTTAAATTTTTACATAAATAAGTGTTAAATTTTATAATTTTCTGTTGAAATTTTCTCCTTATTATTTACTCATTTTAAGTTATTATAAAAATTTTTATTAGTTTCGCTAAAAGATCAAGAATTAATTAGGCAAATTGTTACTAGTGAAGAAGATTTTTTCTACAATTATTCTTCAATAGGTTTAGGGGGAATTTAAAAATTATGACCATCGATGCTTAACTTGCCAGATCGGACGGGCTAGCACAATTTCAAAGCAACACGGACGTCTTTAAACAATTGTTGAAATTGTAATTTAAGATCTTAATTTTATTTTTTAATTTGCTAACTTAATTTCCTTTTATTTATTAATTTAATTTTCCTTCTAGAATTTTCCTTTTTTAATCGTTAACCTCCTCAAGCATTGTTTATATTTTTTATTGGAAAAATTAAACAAAATAAACAAAAATTTTTACAAAAAACAAGGAAAAAAGTGTATTTAAATCGGGAGTATCTGTCATAAATAATTTAAATATTTTCTTGCCTAAT